GACGAGAAAAGTACCTCTTCATTACTTTTCTCGTCTGAAATGTTTCCAAAATCGTAATTCTGCACTTTCCAGAAAAAACCCAATAAATTTCCAAGTTAGGCTCGGAAAAAGGAAAACTAGGTAAGATATACCATAATTATCCAAAGAAAGCCACAAAACAACCCGCAAAGCAACAAAAAAACTTAAGAAATTTGTACCTTCACAATATCTAAAGGAGAAGGTCCAGACTTGGAAGCGATTTGATACAAGGCGCCAAAAGAAAGTAACGAAAAGGACCTAAAAATCCACACACGCATTACGCTTCAGGATTCTAAAAACAATTCCAGCACTCATCTTCTATCACACAAGAAAAACAAGCAAAGAGGAATACCTGGAAAGCAGAATTGTTTTTCTACCGATCGATTTTATATTAAAACAACTATTGAAAAGCATGCCAGAAAAGCGCAAATAAATGCATATTTCAACTGTTCTAACCTCTCACAATCACATTCTTGAAGGTATCTGAACTTCTACTTTTAAAGCAAACGTCCAACTGTGACTACCTTTTTTTCACTTATTTTTCCAAATCCTCCCCCCCCCTAAAAAAAAAATCAAAAGTTTAGTCACATCACTTTTAATACCTCAAGGTCTCACCAAATTAGTAGCATGTATTCCCATCTGTTACTGTAATCCTTGCCACAGATCAAATACCACTCGAGAGGATCGCTATTTTCATTAATTGAAGGATGACCTCCCGGTAAGCAGTGAAAATCAAAACAAGTTTCATCTCGATTATATGGACAAAGGTACTTCCTCCGGTTAATATCCTAAAAAAAAAAGTGGAAAACACAGAACAATCGCCTGCTGGCTTTCAGAGTTAAATAATTTAAAACATGAAGAGTAACTTCTGCAATACGAACTTAATTAGTTACTTGCATAGTTTTGAAATTAAAATTCTGAAAAATTACGAAAAATAAAGTATCAATTAATAACAACTACTAACAGTTCCGAAAATAGAATTGTAATGTTCTGTAACATTGCACAAAAAAATTGGTTGGTGAAGTCCCTCGGCAACAATAGCTTCAGGATCAGTTACGAACGGCAGAACCATAAAAAACAGGTAATTTATGGCAAGCCCACAAAACAATTCGTCAAACCAAAACAGGATTTTATCTATAACTGATCGTATTATTAAAAAATCACTACAGAAATAAAAACTTAAAAAACTCATCGATTTCTTCACAAACCACCTCGGCAGCGAGCATGCTGTATGAAGTTATGACGGTCGTTTATGAAGAACAGAAGTCCAAAAAATCCCAGTATTGTCAACACAGGTATTCCCATATTTATTCCATAGATACTACGGAAGAAGTGAACCAAGATCTCTAGCTGACCGGCAGCAATGAAAACGCTTAATATACCAGCAGCAAACGCACAAAAACCTTCCCGCATAAATCTAGAAGCAATTTAAGAGAAATTAAGTCATAAGTAGTGAGAAAAAGTACTAGAAGACCTCAGTACACCTACAATTTCCAATCGTATTCTTCAGACAAGGCGAGACGACGAAAGAAGTGCAAGATAGATAAAAAGGAACAGGAAACGAGAGCAATGAATAAGAGCGATGTCCAAGGTACCCACATCCACCTTAAAATTTTGAGAAATTGTGAAGACTTTCCTTTGCAAATTAAGATTAATGAAAGTGTAAGTCACCTATCAATCACTGCTACATCGCTTTCATGCCATTGAAACCAAAGAAGTTTTGCCCCAAAAAGATTCAACGGGTAAAGGAGTATTACTGCGATCAAGCCAGCAGCAGGCCCTTCAGCCCACCATTGAAAATATAGCCTAAACGCTACATGTAAAGGACAACCGCAACCTACGATGCAGAAGTGAAAATAATATGAAAGAAATAAGTCAGATAGTCAACAGCACCCAAGCAAACGATCCCATATCTGACTGTTAGAACTGCAATTTAAAACTCGCCTTCTTGCAAAGACATAAGCGACGTAAAAAGCGAACTGATATACTCCAAACAAGTAAAATGGCACTCTCATGCCCAAGTAAGTCACAGTCCCCTGTGCATGCCAGACAACATCCCATTTAGGTTTTATAAACCGTAAAGACTCGATAGTAACGGCAGCAACAGCAATTCCGAGCCAAGTAAACAAGTACCGCGATCCATGACGAAAGGCTGTATACAAGACAATAGAAAATCATTCATAATAATAGAAAATTTAATAAGGCAATAAACCAACCATGTAACAGAGTGAAAATATACAAAAGCAGAAACACGGCTTCTGCTGCCAAAAAGCTCGTGTGATTTGCAGCCAATTTTCTGATGTCCTGCGTTTTACACGCCCAATCAGCAACCTGAAAAACAAACCAGCAATAAACAGCCAATTACCAAACAGACTGAATAAAAATACGTTATCAGAACTCACTGTTCAAGCAACTCCTTTATTAAATTTTGAGAACTTCCTCTAAAACCTAATAAACAAACGACTTTTCAACACCACTTTTTCCTTTTCAAAGTTTTCAGAAAATGTTAAACTATAAAAGCCTCCAGTAATGATGCGTCTTCAAATCAAATGTTGAGGACTCAACTAACTCATTTACTGTTGAACCAAAAGTTCACTTGCGTTGCTCATTAAAGTCGTAGCCTCAGTCACTACACTGTTTCATAGTTTCTGTCAGTAACTGCGTAACATACCCGAAAAACGTCGAAAGCTTTTGAAGTTACTGTTTTTTTCGTTTCTTGATCAATACCAAACGGCAGATAATCGAAAAAATACTTGTCAAGAAGGTAATCCATCGTTACCGGTGCGGAACCTCAAAAGAAGGAATGAATTTCCAGTGAAAAAAAAAGCGTATTTTCAAGAACCAGAGCAATAATATCAAGATTTTGAAGATCTTCAACACAACTACCGCTGTGTTCGGTTCGCAAAACAAATACCGCGTAAAAATAGCATATAACGAATGCAGAAAATGAAAGTTCTCCAACCACTAACCGCAGTGTAGACTATTACTGCGAGTATTACGACTTTGCCCTGTGACTGATCACCTCAATGTGGCGTAGGACCACTGACCAGTTGAATATCGTCCTAATTTAAATGCAAGCGCGTTTCTATGCTGTCTGTGTAGAACTAATTTGAATACGACGAACTGGGAGGTTTCACGCTACCGCAGTTAAGCGAACCCAACCTCAAAACGCTTTTCTTGCCGACAACCTACCTTCATCTTTTCTTTAAGGGATTCTCAACTGATTCATCTGCAGCAGTCTAGACTTGTCTACGTGCTTACTGCTCATTGCTAGTGCTAAAGTTTCCTTTCAAAACACCGCTCTTTTGGTAGCGGGATGGCATAACAAATAAGTACTTTTTTCGCATAGCGATGCCACGAAGAAGATCAAGTGGAAGACCGGTAAGTTTTGATGCCACTTCCCCTAGCAAAAACATCTAAACTTTCTGTGCTTACTTATGATGTTGCTTATTTTAATTGATACCTCTTTGCTTTTTTTTCCGTTTGATTCCGCAACGATCAGAAAGCAATATTTCGCAGCACCTTACCAACCTCTTACTAGCCCTGTACAACTGCTAATGAAACGTTGATTAGGAAGTAAATGGAACTCTTTTATTGACTGATGATTTAAACCTCCTAAAGTTGGTTTTTCTGGTTATTAGTAAATGTAAAAAAAAAAATTTTATCACTTTGAAGTGCGTCTCGTTAGTTTAGTTATAGCACACATGATCTTCCACTAAACAGCAAAGAGTAACTGTGTACCTTCAACAAATGTGAAGTAAAGATTCTTTAACTGAATTTGACTTTGAAATTGACAGTTCTTACCCAACACACTTTACCGAAAACTTAAAAGAGAGCAAAGAATGACATCACTTCGTAACCTGCGGAGATGTGTTGAGTGGGAGCGAAGAATTCAAAAACAATAGGAGGCTCCTGCACAAAATGCGATTCTATCAACTTTCTTCAATCTGTTTTTCAATTTCGAAATACCTTAACACAACTACTCATAAATGAAAACTGAAACAACTAGCTAGGAAATTGCTGTTCATTGGAATTAAGACTCATCATGCCCTCACGAAAAATAAAACATCCTACACAACAAAACTGAAAGCAAGTCAACGGTAAAAAATTGAGCGATAAAAGATGGGCACGCACAAGTAAAATAGCATCAGAAATATTAGTATTACTGTGCTGCACCCGATTTTTTCGGAACTAAAATAAACCAAAAAAAAAACCGGTCCCATATATGCGAGCGATATCTATGCGTAGAGGATTAAAGTTTTTGACCGAACCAATAAGTGAGAGGAAGGTTTTAAACAGAATTTGGTTCTAATTATTAACATCGTGCGAAAACAGAAACAAATTCCTTATACTTTACTAAAGACCATTCTCCTACAAAAACTTTTCTAAACAGTAAAAAGTAATAAGAAATTTTTCTGCCGCTTTGCGAATTTCCACCTCATTCTTGTACGTTCTGATCGATTTATTATAGTTATCATTCGTGGTCTCGGGGTTAATTATCAAATCCGTTTGAATCCCTCAGTTATTAGAAGTCCAAAAATTTCTGATGTATCTGCTCGGTTATTCAACAAAATTTAACAATCTAATGTGTTCAGAATTAGGAAATAAAGGAAACCTAATGAGCTGAAAGTTGTTAAATTTCATCAAGCTTGAGAAGAACTGCAGATCCAGGATCATACCAAGCAGAAAAATGAGAATTTTTAAAATTCTGATTGGAAGTATAACTTAGCAAAGGAATTCGTTTTCCAGGAATCTCTCTTTAGCTTTTTAAACTCCGGGTCAGACTCTATGAGCAAAACTTTAAAAAATTTTAAAATATGAAGCGAAGAAACTGTGTTAACGGCCCACACATATTTGGCAGTACGATGGCAGTCCAAGCCACCAAAGACGCTGAGATAACCAGCTGGTCCGATCGGCTTCGTGACACAATTGAGTCAAAGCAAAAAAAATACTCACAAAAAATTTAAGAAACAGGTTGCAGAGCATTCTGCAACGGATGAAAAAAATAAATAATATTTGGAAGTCTCAAAATCGAACTTCCAATTAATTATCTTTCATTTCGTTCGCACTTTTTCAGCAAGAATATGCAAGAAAATTTATTGTAAAAAGCATGTTTCCGCCTGTGAAACAGACTTTGTGGCGCCGAGTCCTATAAAAAATGGTTGAAATCACAAATTTTTGAAAATAAGTTGCACTTCAAATAACCGTTTTTTTAAATTTTTGAAAAGTGGCAGTCTTCCTCAAAAGAAGCTAAAAAAGTGAACCCATCTGGGGTTTCAGCCAAAATTTAACTTGTATCAACTAAAAGAATGCCTCAGAAACAGAATGGAAGTGTACGACATGATCAGACAGGCTTTCTCAACCTCTTCCGAAAATAATTAAACAACTAAACCACGAGTAATCGCAGTTAAATGAAAAATTTATCTTAGAAACAGCAGGGCAAGAATAATTGAACGTGAAAGTTGCAAGATCTTTAATGTTGAAAAAATAAAGAACAAGACAAGAAATTATCGACAGCAGTGAACGAGTTTAGGAAGCTAATTTTTGCTCTCGCCAAAATCAAGCTACGAGACCAAAAAAGGCAAGAAGACTGGTCCATCAGGCCGTTTGTTTAGCTGCTTCCTCATAGTATCTCAAAATTAAAAAATTTTCATTTTCTAGTTCTACGACTTGGAAGTCATTAAGTATGTTCAGTTACCCACTGCTTACGACATCTCCCTCTCCAAAACAAGAAAATTTCCAATCATAGTCCTACTCAGTATGCTAAATTAAAATAGTATTTATTTTTTATTCAGTTCATGACTAAAATAATATATAAGAACAAAAAAACAAGAGAAAAAAAAGCAAATTAAAAAACCCAGCGAACAAATTGCACCATATTTTACATTTATAACAATAAAAGTACACCTTTACGATCTAGCAAAGACTGTTTCAGAACTGAAAAAAACTTTCAGTGGAAGTGCGAAGCTACTGATGACGCAGGTTGCTCAGCATCGTGGCAAACCGCCAGAGAGCTTGACCTGACCACCACTATTGATATGCTCCTCTGAGTGGTACATTGTAAACACCATTCTAAAAAAAGTTGCGTTTTTTATGTATGCATATAAATACTGCACAGAAGACCGCTGCGGTCAAGAGGATAGCTATTTACTGCCCTATTTTTGGGTTTGCAGCTATAACTCTGTTTACAAATCGGTCTCATAAACTGAACTGTCGCAGTTTTATCACATAACTAAAATTTTTATGATTTTTTAACCTGTATCAGTAAGAAAACGTGTAAGTGTTGTTGCTGTCACTATCTTTGTGCACCTATACCTCCGCTAATATATATATATATATATATATATATATATATATATCACAACAATATCACAGAAAAGCTTAGAAGGTAAAAATGAAAATACTAAAAGTAATTCTAATCAAAAAATGGAAGAGAAAGAGTAGCAAAATCTCAAGCAATAAATTTGGAACTTTGTAAGTATCTAGAATAGTAGTAGACCTCTACCTGCCAAACAAATCACTTTTAGCATACAAACAGAAAGGCAAATTTTACTCACACAAAACTTTTCCGGATGCAAAAACGACGGATATTGTTAATTGCTGCCAAAGAATTTTTCCAACTTAGTTGTCCAAAAAACGGTACAGACTTTAGAGCTTTATATGGCAGAATCATCTTCAACCAGCTACCAAATGTTTAGAAATTCTGTGACTGACTTTCCCAGAAACAGTAAAAAAAGATGTCTCATTCAGTATCATTAATCTTTGTGGTACACTGCCACTCAATATGCCTAATTTTTACAAAAAATAATTTAATGTAGGAGATTTTGGAGATACTGAATTAAGCGAATGTAATTTCAAGCATCATTTGAAAAAACTGGATTCAGGAACTATATTACAGTTTTTGTTCGAGATTACACTAGCTCAATTAACATTGAAGAAAATGAAACATCAAAGCCAACTTAGTGAGAGTTTATTCTAAACACGAGAAAGAGACAAACACTGCAGGTTCTATACACCGCTAAGACTGAACTAGTCAAACTACTGACACCGGGGGAAAGACTATGAATTGGTTTCAAAATAAAATTCAGCAATGATTGCAGCTTTTGGGTGAGCAACGAAAACCATGAGACTGTTCAGCAGTTGCATACGAGCTGCACAGTGCTTTGTAAGCGTTTTGCGAGTAGCCATCGTTGGTTGGTATGAAAAGTGCAGACAAAAGGAATCAGAAGATCAAATGGCAAATGATGGAAATTTTGACGCCACTTTATGCCTTTGCCTACACCAAAATAATCAAAGCAGCATCGTAGGAAAAGGCAACCAGCTGTCAGAAGACAACCAGGCACATTTTTCTGATTTTCAAGACGGTTAGAGACTTCTGCCTTATTGTTAACTCTATGGGACAATCTCCATGATGAGCAACAGGTTGATTAAAAATTATGAATGAAAAACTGAAAGAACTGTCAACTGGTTACTTCTTATTCAAATTTCTTACTTCTAAATGGTCACCTTTTTTAGTAGTGCTTCTACCAGCATCCAGAAATTTTGTGCCAGTTATTTCCATAAGTATCCCGCCAAACCTTAGTCATTAGCTGATGTAGGTTTGACTTTGAAATCAGTTCAAAGAAAACTTACGTAATTCTTGGTCTTTTCCTAGACCTCATACAGCAGCCATTTTTCATCACTAGTAAAACTTCTGTCTGGAAAAAAAAACATAATTTTTGAAGTGCAGGAGAAGAAACGCTTTTACTTGGTTGGTTCGTGAGGAATTCGTGGTTTCTAAGTGAACCTTCGAGCTGTACAACTGTATAACCGCTTTGAAAAGCACCGTATAAAGGTTACTAGAGTTCCTTCTAGACCCGTCTCAAATTTGCTGTCAAACATTAATTTGATAAAACGGCCCATCCGGAGATGGCTCATTTGCAATCATTTTTTTTTGCAGAAGATTTTTCTAATTACTTGCCTGATTACTCTACTCGCTACAACAACACTACTCTTTTTCGTCCACAATTAAACACCGGCTAAAATAATTACTTTTTCGCATTAGAACTAAAAATATTTCAAAAATAAATTTAAAAGATGAGGAAAAAACAGGATAGAAATTTA